ATATATATATATATATATATATATATATGTGTTTTTATGAAAAAAAGAAAAAGGAGCACGCGATGCACCCTACCCTTGCCACTGTCTCTGCAAAAAGCCTGGACCCTTTGTCTCTTTGCCTCACCAGTCTTATGTAAACTTAATTATCATATAACCATGAGGATATTGCATTGCATGGTAATCATAAAGGTTTGTATATGTAGACAGACAGAGTCTCACAGGCATAATATCTGCTTCTAAAGCTGCACTTGTTCACTTACATTTTGACCCATCTTCTCCACGCCCCCTTCACTTTATCAGACATATACGTACATACATTTTAAAACCAATCCAACCACATGTACATATTGCTTATGCATCAAATCAGTATCTTGGATCCTTCTATAAATACCCACCTAAATCCATTTCACACTCATCATCATTTCTACTTGTATTCCCTCTACTACATCCATCCATCTTTCAAGAATGCATTACCAGCAAAGTGAATCATGGGCCACCTACATGCCAACAGCAACAAGCTGCCAGCTTTTAGAGCGCATAGAAAGGCTTGCTTCTGAGAATGCGGTAGTGATATTCAGTGTGAGCAGCTGCTGCATGTGCCATGCCATCAAGAGGCTCTTCTGTGGAATGGGTGTGAACCCAACTGTGTATGAGCTGGATCAGGAGCCGTTTGGGAAAGACATGGAAAAGGCATTGATGAGGCTGCTTGGTACTTCCTCTCCTGTCCCTGTGGTGTTTGTTGGAGGAAAACTGGTGGGTGCTATGGATAGAGTCATGGCTTCTCATATCAATGGCTCACTTGTCCCTCTTCTCAAGGAGGCTGGTGCCCTTTGGCTCTAATAACATCATCGAACCTAACCCTCTATATTTTTTTTTCTTTTTTCTTTTTCTTTTTCTTTCTTTGTCTTGATGATGATTAAGAGAAAGAAAAAGATATATATATATATATATATATATATTGGGTTAGTTTTTGAATTAGAAAGAAAGAGGAAGAGGAAGAGGAAGAGGAAGAGGAGGATTTTGACCATAGATATGATATATAGTGTAGGTGTTTTTTTACTAATCCTATCGACGAATGTAATTTGCTCCCTCCTCTGCGTTCCTATAATTACATCCATCACTTAAAAGCAAATTATTTTACTTTGTTTTGTTCTTGTATCAACCAACTTAATTAGTATCTTTTCTTTTCTTTTCTTTTCATGTTAAGATGACTCAGTGGGCTCAAATAATGTAAGAATATGAAAACAAACATTAATTCAATTGCATATATATCATATAACTAAAAGAAAGCACCTTTATTTATCTATAGACTATACATCATCATCAATTACTAATACTAGATTAACCTTGTTTGTAACTAATTATTCCAACAACATTAATTAGTGATTACCATAATCCATCCATCCAATCAAATCATTTTTCAAATAAATATTTGTACGGAGTTCAGAACTTGTTTAAAAAAAATAAATATTTATTTATACATCATCAATTACTAATACTAGATTAACCTTGTTTGTAACTAATTATTCCAACAACATTAATTAGTGATTACCATAATCCATCCATCCAATCAAATCATTTTTCAAATAAATATTTGTACGGAGTTCAGAACTTGTTTAAAAAAAATAAATATTTATTTATACATCATCAATTACTAATACTGAAAAGAAATAAATATTTGAACAAAGTCTAGGGTTCCTCTTCCCTCCTCCATTTATTTCTTTTTTCATATAATCCAATCCAAACCTAATCTCTCTTAATTTTCTTTTTCTTTTTCTTTTTTTTGCTGCTAAATCTGTTTTGGTTTATGTTGAATCCTAGTTTTATTTTATGCACGTCTGTTCAGACTCTAAGGTCAATTTCTACATACCTTGTACAACAACACTCTCATCGTCTCATATTATAGCTTCCTGCAAATGCTTTTACAGCTCAAATTTCGATTGTTTGATGGATCCGACATTACATCACTCTCCGCCTTCCACCATTCTCATGCTCAAGCTCAAGTAGAGGATTGTCACCCACTGCCCTAAAGGTCAGTCCCATTTCCATCTATTCTCTCTTTATATGCCACTATCTGATCTGCTGCTGTATGATTACCACCACCTATTTATCCTCAAGATACAACCACCTTTTTCAGTTTAGCCTAGCAATCGTTTCTCCAGATTTCATGCGGAAATCTTACCTTCAAGTCTTGATGTTTGTCTTTCAATGGGAGTTCCTTTGCACTAACAGGGGAAAGATAAATAAAAATGGCTGGTTAGTTAGTACTTAGTTTGGATGTGTTATGAGTCAGGGCTCTCCATTTTGGAGTTCCTTGTTTAGGTTATATCTGCCAAGTTGTCAATTATAGCAACTTGTCCCAAGTCCGGTCTGTTTTTTTCTTGCTAGCTGAATAGCACAGATCCACCTTACCAATTACACTTTTTTTCGAGAATCAAATAACAAGGCAGGTCAAGAGGACACAGCATGACAGGGTGGCTATCCGATTGTTTCTGTTATCTATCTTTCAGAAGTGATATGTAGCATCCTTTCTGGGGTCAATACCACATGCTCACCTTGCTCCATCCATATACAGCTCTTTGGTATAAAGTCCCTCTTCGTGCATTACAAGCAACAGTGTACTTGCTTAATGTGGTGGGAAGGGAGCTCATTTTTTGTACTTTTTTAGTGCTTGCCAAAAATAAATGTTGCCAACTTATGGGATCAATACATCTTGTGACAGAATTTGAGTTATGTTGCAAAATGCGCCAAGTGGTGAATGGTGATTAGAACCCTGGTTTTGAAGTAACCAAAGAATATGCCATCGCCTATTATGTGTGAGCAATGTATGGGCTTACACATGTTACAATACATAGCAATTTTCATTTTTTCTATAACTTTGTTGGTGGAGCGACTTAAACTGTTCTTGTGTTTGCAATGTATCCGAACCCAGGGATGTGAAATGTCCACCAGTTCAACCAAGTTTGGCCCAAATATTATTACATCTATCATGTTGTGAATTCATGCACGTGTTATTACATTCTCGCAATTGCAACAAGAACCACCTTGGTTTTCTGGCAACTCTTCTTTTAGCTTGAAAATCATTTTATCATCTTAGCCAACTACCAGCATATCAATGGTATGAAGTAAATAGGTGATCAATTTTTCAAATAAATATTACCCATCACTCTCTTTGTGCTTGTTTATGGTCATATCGAATTTTCTTTAATAAATAGAGCAAGTGTTCAGAGCTTGTCTTTTCTGGAACTCCTAATATTCATGTCAAGCCATTTAAGCTCAAAACCATGTTAGCTCTATAGAAGTCCTGATATTAATATAAAGCAACCTACTCATATGATGATTCCATGCAAGGATTGTCTCTCTTTATCTATGGACTTCATCTAGTGTAAGGCATATAAAAAGTTAAGTTAGGATCTTGACTGAACTTCCATGTAGAGGAATGAGCATCTTCACAGTCCTGTAGAATTTATGATGGTTGCTACCCTAGGAACAGGCACTGAGCAGATGACCGACTCCTATTAGTGACAGAATATGTATAGAAGATGGCAAGCCTCCTGAACCAGGATTTGCAAGGGACAACATGCCTTCTTTTCAGTGTCATTGGGAGTCAACTCGATTGTTGCTTGGTTTATTTAGTTGGTGATTGCAGAACGTGATATTTTTCTGTCCGTCAAAAATAACTTCCACTCTGTTCCTGAGTATTAGACAATTAAGTGTGATATATATATATATAATTATATTAGAGGGTCTAGAGTGTAAATGTATCTCTTATATATATCCCTGATTGTAATCGATATATA